CTCGCGCTTTAAATATTAAAATTTAACTGTCTCGAGTGGAGAAATATCGTAACACATTTAATCTATGCGTTCGGATGAACCTAAAATTTATGGTAGTCATGGTCTGATGTATATGTGTGAACATTTTGCCCTGGAATAATTAATGTTGCTGTAAACAGAGAATGGTCAGTGCTTTCTACTTCCCCCTCGCCCCCCCACCCCCCGTTCCAAAAAAAAAAATTCTTTCCCTCAAGATATGGTCATAATCTCAATTCAAATTTCCAATGGAGTTTGCAACCATAATTACCAATTAAATACATCATAAAAGTCTCAAATAGATAATTTAAAAGCAGTGTAACGGAGGTAATCCAACACTGTACAACATTGTACAATTTTGTTTTTGGATTACCTCCCTTACACTGCTTTTAAATTGTCCATTAACCAGGATACCCTTGTTTTTTTTCCTTTTTTGCCCCTAATTCCTAAACTGTTTGAGCCATAACCCCCCAAAGCCAATCCTAACCATCCCTTTGTGGTATGGAAACTTTTGGTATAATTTCAGAGAGATCCATACACTTAAACACAAGTTATTGTCTGGAAGTTACAAAAATGCTTATTTTTGGCCCCTTTTTGGCCCCTAATTCCTTAACTGTTGGTACCATAACCCCCAAAATCAATCCCAACCTTCCTTTTCTGGTTTTGAACCTTATGGTAAAATTTCATAGAGATCCATTCACTTAAACTAAAGTTATTGTGCGAAAACCAATGTGTCTTCGGACGATGACGATGCCAACGTCATACCAATATACAACCATTTTTGCGGTTGTATAAAAATGTAAAAAAGGTAAAATTCCTCAATTAAGGGCAATAACTCCTATAAGAAGTCGTCTGACAGTTTAAATGTGAAGAGACAGTAGGTTGATCTCAACATTCTGAACATTTCTGTTCTTTCAGATTTTCTCTTTCTACATGTTCTATAGCAGTTTTCATTATAATAGACAAAACTTCATTTTACCCTTATGTTCCATTTTTAGGCATATTGGCCATGCTACATGTAGTTAGCAAGTGGGGTCATCGGACACATTCTTTAAACTAGATATCCTAATGATGACTGTGGACAAGTTTGGTTAAATTTCGCGCATTAGCTTCAGAGGAGAAGATTTTTGTAAAAGTTAACAGACATCAACAGTCGCCAAGTGATGAGAAAAGCTCACTAAAGCTAAAACTTGGTAAAAATCATCTTTCAAGGGCAATAACTCCTATAAGGGATAAATTGATAATTTCAGTCGGATTGACTTATTTGTCATGTTTGTAGGTCTTACTTTGCTGAACATTTTTGCTGTTTGAATTTTCTGTCTATTTAACATAGTTTCTGGAAAAAAACTTCAAAATTCAATAAAAATAGTCTTTCAATGGCAATAACTCTTAAAGGGGATGAATTGATAAATTGTGTTCTTAGACTTATTGGTATATATCTTACTTTGCTGAACATGTCTGCTGTTTAAAATTTTTCTTTATCTATAATACATTTGTAGTATTTTTCATGATAACAATCAAAAACTGAGAAATTTCATAAAATAATATAATTTTAGGGACAATAACTCTCAAATTAGGTTGTCCTATTCATCTTTAAAAAATCCTCACTAAAAGACCTGCTGATGATGTTTAACCATTGTCAGTCTTGCTCTTACTTCTTTAGTTTTTGAGATATTTATGCCAAAAACTGCATTTTATCCCTATGTTCTATTGTTAACAAGGACGGCCATGATTGTTGACTGAACAGAACAAAAAACAAAAAATTTATACATGATACCACGAGGATCAAGTTTGGTTGAAATTGGTTCAGTAGTTTTAGAGGAAAAGATCTTTGAAATATTTTAGGACAACAATGATGGACACCAAGTGATGGCAATAGCTCACATGCCCATGTGGTCCAGGTGAGCTAAAAAAGAGAACAAGATTGTGGCCATAACAATTCCCTTTATTGCAAATTGAAGCATTTAAATTTTACAGGTGGTGCAGCTATGCAGATCTCTCTGACTGTCCTAACAGTTATATTTACTGTTATATAACACATATTCATGTTTATTTACTTAAAATAAATTTAGATTTCTTCAAATATAATAGTTTCTAATAGAAAAAAAGAGGATATTGGGTATCCATCTTTGACACAAAATCAGTACATGCACAGCAAAAAACACACAAAAAGCAAAGGAACAGCACTTTTATTGATGTTTTTCATCTCAAAGTCACAGTGATGCCTTCAACACAGAGCAAAAAAACTCTCACCTCACTGCAAGTTTAAGCAACCCTAGCACCTGCTTGAGAGGAATTCTTTGCAAAAATAATTTGGATAGACTTTGTAAGATGTAACACCACCAAATCGGGCTCCGTCAAAAAAGAACATACTGGAAAGTAGTACATATTCAAAACAAAATAGTTCCTATGCATAGGTGTGAATATCAAACTATGTAGAGTATATATAAGTAATTCAGGTATCAAATGAAAGGTGAAGGACTGGTGATCCTTGTAGAGCACATATTGACTGATAATTTTGAATAATACAATAAACAGCTGTGCCACGAGCGCATGATATGCCCGTCGTCTTGTGTGAGAGGTTTTATAATCATAAATCGTTTCTGAGATACGGCGCGACATGTGAAAACCCCCCTTTTTTTAATAAATAAAAATCAATAACTCTAAAATAAGATTTTGAATCATCACCAAAAAGTATACAGATCTTTAGATTAATATAATTAAGAAGTGTGTAAAGTTTTAAGCAATAATCATAAATCGTTTTTGAGATACGACGCGACATGGGAAACCCCCCCCCTTTTTTTACAAAAAACTCAATAACTCTAAAATAAAATTTTGAATCATCACCAAAAAGTATACAGATCTTAAGATTAATATAACTAAGAAGTGTGTAAAGTTTTAAGCAATAATCATAAATCAATTTTGAGATACGGCGCGACATGTGAAAAAATGTTACACCCCCTGTTTTAGTTACAAAGTCCCGTAACTCAAAAAGTTTTAATCTTATTTTCACCAAAAAGAATACAGATCGTTTGACCAGCATAAGAAACAACTATGTCAAGTTTCATGAAATTTGGATAAGTCGTTCTCAAGTTACGGCGCGACATGTGGACGCCGGACAGATGGACAGACAGACAGACAGACGGACGCCTGACATTTGTATACCATAATACGTCCTGGCTGGCGTATAAAAATGATAAATGAACAGGATAATAAAATCTTGATACTTTAGTGCAGAAAGGTCACTTGTGATGTCACAATGATGACAGAAACATGTCAAAACTTACATTCCTGACCTTGAATGGCCATTTGATACATATTTTTTGGTCAACATATGTATGAGCAAAAGAATTACCCAAAAGTATATTTTACACATGTATTTTTGTCATATATTTTTTATCAACATGATCAAAATATCTTTTTGGGTAAAGCTGCAGGGGCGGATCCAGGATTTTAGGTTAGGGGCGCAAACTTAAATTTTGTTTTGCACTTAATGTAAGAAGTTTGAAAGCCTAACGGTTATATACATGTACATGTAAGACTGTCAAGTCAATGATGTGCAACAGACTAATTAATGTTTTATGAAGGATAGGTAATTTCATAGTTTTGATGTGGTAATAATAGAGAATTCAATAAAATAAACTGTTGACATAGAGATATGTCTTGCCTGTTCGCAGAAAATTTAGAAAAGGACAATCTGATGGACATGTAATTTACAGTTCCTGGACCATGACATAGAGGGAAGTGCATCAAAGTATTATTGTCTATCATAAGTAGTTCCTATTAATAAATTGGCAATTATTTGAAAGTCACTGGACCATGAACTAGGGTGCAGGACCTAAAAATAGTCATCAAAGTGAAACTGATATGAATACAGATAGTTTAAAAAGCAACTTTATAGAAAACAAAAAACTTAACAAATGTTGAAGCCGCTGGAAAAGCAACACCTTTGTCTCGCCTTCCACAACCTTTGTCGCAGGCAAGACACAAATAATTCGATAGCTTTTTTCTTAGCCATTATTAGCAGCAACTCTCAATCAATGTCCATCAAAAATCAAATAGAACATAAGCCAAGGCAGTCATATATTGACATCACAAAATGCAAACTATGCTATCAAAAAATTTCAGTCTCACTAATTAGCGACAAGAAGAATTTTAGGGACAAAAATTGTCAGGAAGACAATTTTTTCAAAATATTTAATTGAAACCCATGTTAACTTATACTTTTAATCTAACCATACATTGTATATATATATATCAATGCCTGAAGATTTTAGAAACCTTTTTGATTTACATTAGATGCATAAACACTATTTCGGAATCTGCGACACTTGAACTATTGACGTCATACAACAATCACTTTTCCTTTGTTGCGTCAGACATTTTCTATTATGACGTCAAACTTTTATGGGAACCTTTGTGAAGTCCAGTAATGGCGGACAAATAGCGATAAGGTGTATTGAAAAAATTTGTCTTTAACTGTGAGTGTGCTATTCCAAGACAGATAAAACAACGATTATGCATGTTGTTTTGAATACACCTTATCGCTATTTGGAAATCTGTCCCAGTTGACCAGAGAATCTGTCCCGGTTGACCCGAGAATCTGCCCCGCTTCTTGAACTATTGACGTCATACAACAATCACTTTTCCATTGCGGCGTCAGATATTTTGTATTATGACTTCAAAATTTTACGGGAACCTTTGTGATGTCCAATGATGGCGAACAAATAGCGATAAGGTGTATACAACACTTCATAATTTGTAATTTTACAGCTCAACCAATCCCGTTTGCAATAAATACAAAAAATATATATTAGCTGTTTTGAGGCTTTCCATACTTTTTAGCAACTGATCAGTATAAAGAAAAACAAATAAATGAACGTTGATATTATAAAATGCGGTAATATAAAGATCAACATTATAAACATTGTGATGAGATTTCACAAACAATATAATCGAATGCACAATCAGAAGTTCAAACTTACGGTATCTAATGATGCAACTGTAGAAATAAAAGGTTGTAAATGAGCTCGGCTCAAACAAAGGGAGATTATCTAACTGTAAACTATGATGCGCATTTGGCGTAATAACTCGATCTTGGTCCTTCAAACATCGCAGGTGTGTCAATGTTATTTAATAACTTACCACTTGACACCCCTTGCAATTTATTATAAATCTATTGACAGAGACATGTTTCTGATATTGATTAGTCAGGAGCGGATTCAGGCGGGGGCGTGGCGGGCGTGCACCCCCCCTAAAATTTGCAAAGCATATATGGGTTGTCCTCAGCTTAAGGGCATCCGATACAGTTTCTCGATAATATGAGGAAGACGCTACCTTGAATGCCAGCTTACCAAGACTATGTCCTACATATTGATTGATTGTTGGTTTGCTTAACGTCCAATGGCAAATATTTCATGCATGTTCAGGACGAATGTCTAACATTATTTCATATAGTTTTTGTCTAAAATAAAATAATAAGCCAAGTTCAGATGGAAAATGTTAAGGGAACGATCATTGAAATTCAAAAGGCAGGATGGAGTATGTTTTTTTTTCTTCAAAAATATTCTGATTCCCAAATTGATGAAAAAAATATTCTAATCAACATGATCAAGCGGAGGACAAAAAAATATTCTGAATCCAGTTTATCCCCATACCTTCTAGCGTTAATTTTTGACCAAATAATTTTGATTGATAGCGTGAAAAAAAATCTTAACTCAAACAAAAAACCATACCCCCTCCCCCCTTTTTAAGCTAAATGGTTGCACCCTTATTGTCCATATTGTTTTCTGCTGAAAATAAATTTATTGGTGATTTATCTAAATGACAATGCTTAAATTCATTATCTTGTGCCATGTTTAAATCCATTTTTCTTTCTTTGCAAATTTTACAAAATTTAAAACAATAAGACATTTGTTTAATTTCAAAACTATGAATACTGTTATACAATCCATAACTTTATTAAATTAATTTTTTGTCGATTTTCATGAAAAGGTGGAGGATTTGAAATATCTTTTTCATCAATATCTAAAAGTTGTAGCTGTTTTTTTTATTTAGTATTGCAAACAACGCTTTCTGTTTGTTGACTGAATTATTTTTACTTTCTAAATTAGCTGGATGTTCATATTGTATTCCCAGTTTCCTGCATCTCATATATATGTGATCAGCAAGAGGATCATTCTGATTGTTAAAAGAAGAGTTTGAATTTGCAGTGAGCCTGTTTAGAATAATGTTTTGATCAGGCTTTTCATTTTGATCTAAGCATAAGGAACCATAAATAGGATTGTTAAGTTGGTAATCTAAAGATTTTGCTATTTTCTAGGATGCTATTTAAAATTTGATGGGAGAACACTGCTCAGCAGTATAAATGTATTCCTGATCATCTTCTGTTTGTGGGTTTAACATCAATTTCGTGTACTAATTCAGAGTCAGTTTTATGTAATTTTTGCATTTTGTTTTATTAGCTTACTTTTCAAGTTTTTATACGACGGCAAAATAAAATTCAGAATGGAAATGGGGAATATGTCAAAAATTTGCTTTCGAGTATTGCAATCAGGTCGCTGTTGTTGTCCGAAGACACATTTGGTTTCCGGACAATAACTTTAGTTTAAGTAAATGGATCTCTATGACAATGTATGAAATTGTACCAGAAGGCTCAACTTCAATACACAAAAGGAAGGTTAGAATTGATTATCATGATTATGGGGGTTATCATACGGTACCAAAAGTTTAGGAGTCAGTGGTCAAAAACAACATTTTTTGGGTTGTTTTTTCCATAATTTTTGGGTTTTTTCTCCAAAAATTTACCATTTTTACATTGATTATTTCTCCAAAAATTTACCATTTTTACATTGATTATTTCTCATTTATATATAAATGCAACAAATACTGATATGGCAGGAGATACACACGAAACAGGGTGTGTAAATTATTTTATCGGTAATTTGTGCATTTTTCCTTTGATGTGTACTTCTTGATAATGTCGACGTCAGTATCAGTGAACTGGTCATGATAAAGAAAATATATTGGGTCAGTTCGCAATTGACATGCGCGAGTGCACCGCAAAAGGATCTTCTTTCCCTTTAATTCACAAAATTGCACATGATTTTTTTTCGCAGAAACGCACGAGTTATTTCATGAATGAAACACTTGTCATTGTTTGAAACTTTCAGTAATAAAAAGTTAGTTTAGCCTTTTTGAACGATTCACTGATTGTGTGAAAATTTGAACAGAAAATGTAACGATAAACCTGATAAAATTGCGTTATCTGCAGAATTATTGATAGCTTTCCTTACTATTCACAAGGACATATAACTAACATATCGTCCATGCTATTCCGATCTGAGTTTTATTCATACATAGTCTGGCATGGCTGGTGCTGTTCCAAGTTGTCTTTTTTCTCTGCATGTTTCTTGAGAAGTATTTGTTTGACCTGGTCAGTCACTATATAAAGTGTTACAATTCATATTTAGACGCAACACATAAATAGTGACCAAAAAGGTACCGCTTTCACATGTATGACATGAGAGAATCTAGAAAAAAAATTAAATGTACACATAATTTTTCACCATTTTTGTGGGACTATCATATAAAATTAAGGAGATGTGTAGTTGGAGACTGCTGCTGAATAGAAATGTTCGGGCTCACATGATACCTGTTTTCAAATTTGTCCATATTAAAGTTTGAAGGGTCCAAAATTAAAATATGTTTGATTTCAACTGACATAAAAAAATTTGGTGTTTTTTATATGCTATATCTACATCTGCGGTTGTATTAGGCTGTGCTTGGCGAAGCATTTTATTGCTTTTTTGTTTGTTCTTTATTTTATTTTGGTCCTGAAAATTAACTTGTAGTTGTGAAGTTGCTTACATTTTTAAAAGATGATAATTAGATAACTTCTCATGGTGACAACACTGACGTTTTCGTAGATTTACTTTTTCCCGGGAATGTTTCATCTGTTGATATATTCTCATTGTGAACGATTTGTCTATATTTAAATATATTAACCGATGTTGAAAGACATGTATAATGTAAAATCATAACAATACAAATTGTTTAGTCTCAAAGAAAACTTGTAAGATTTCCGCAGTTATTTTTGTTGAATAGGTGCAAATTGGGTACTCGGTGCAATTTGGGTACTGTGACATTATAGCCATAAGTGTTTATTGTTTTAAAAGGTTGAAATGTGCACCTAATAAAAGTATTCAGTAGAGGGAAAATGTTTTGATCAGGTTTAAACTGACGCATAAAATATACAGGCGACTGCGGGAGGCAATTATTTATATTGCATCCAAATAATGTGTCGGCAGCTTGAATTTCAAAGGATGTAGCCCACATACTTCCAAGTAACATGCTCTATACCTATCAAAAGTCATGGTATTATCATGGGTTATCATAACTCCATCTTCCCATAAAATCCTATTTTGGACAATATGGGTGCATACAATATATATGTACCTATAAATGTATCACTCAGACTCAAGTCTCCTTTTACAGCTGTTTTATGATTAAACTTAGAGAGTGAAAAAAAAAAACATCTCCTGGCACTGTTTAAGGTAGATATATATGTGTCATAATTAATGACAAGATTTGTTGAGAGTTTGTCAAAGGAAGTACAGTCTACAGATAGTGAATTTGAATATATTTTTTTTGTTTAAAATAAAACTTTTGTTAAGTTTTGAATTTCACCTGCATTTGTCTGTGAGCTACAGGAATAACCGTGATCACATTCAACAGTATAACCAACTTCATTATCATTGTAACTTGATATGGGAAATTCTGTAGCAGATGAATAATAGTAGTCATGGTCAACCAGGGCAGAAGCAGAGCCCCGGATTTTACTACCTCCGGCTACGTTTTTCCTGAAATTTATTGCTTGCAGAGGGTTTTTCTGTGTCCCCATGGCTGGACGGAACTTTTACACTAAAAATGTTATCATAAATTATGATATTGTAACTTTTAAGTGAAGTACCTGTGGTTATTTAGGAAATTTGTCACTGATAATGGAAAGATGAAGCAGACGATGAAACATGGCGTAAGATGTTGTTGTCCAAACTTCGGTTATTTCCGTTTTACAATAAAATTTAAATAAACTATACAAGTTACTAAAATTTCTAAATTCTTGTTTTCGTAAACAAAACAAAAATTCGTGTCGTATTTAACATCGAATTTATTCCATTTTGTCCCGGTTTTTCAAGATCGCGATTAAACGAGAATCTGGCAGCCATTAAAAATATAAGGGTTAAACTAATGTCCTGACAATGTCCTGACGGATATTCCAATGCTAATTTCGTTTTCATTATTTGAAGAATTGACTTTATATTTGGATCCAATCAAGAATAAAGTATTTATTTAATAAATATAAGGAAAAAAAAGAAAAAAAATATTTTTAAGAGTTAGATAACTTGACTTGATCAACTTCGAAAAAAAAATAAAAAAAAATCGTACGAGATTTAACGAGAGTGGCGAAACTTTTTAGATTGATCATGTAGAGAGAGTTATCGTTCTTTATTCCAATTCGATGCTTCTACCATAAGCAAAAGCTGGCATGTAATGTCATTTTTATAATTTTGAAATATGTTGTAGGCCTTGGCGAGTTATAAAAAACACCAAATAAAACATAGGTCACTGTGCTTGTTTTCGAGAAAATTGAGGCTGAAAATTTGGGATTTGTGCAATTTTGTAAAAAAGTTAGGCAATGTTATAAAAATTTTGGAGTAGATATTCCTCGTCGTAAATTAATAAGATTGGGTTCAATCTGAAGCTGTGATAAGTGACAATAAGGAAAAAAATAAATCCCTACAAGAATGACTATATAATTATTCAAGCCTTGCTTGACATTGCGGACAAGATGCTCAAAGTGTCATATTTTTTAACCAAAAAATATGGAAATCGAGTGGTTCTGAAAATGTCATTTTTCTCATTTTTCTACATTAACTGCATTTTGTCATGCTTTCTCCAAATCTCAAATAAAAAATATATGTCACCGTGTTGGATTCGAAGATAAATCGCGATTTATCCTAAAAATTGCGTCCCCCCTTGGTAACCTCAACGTTA